CTGCTTCGAAAACTAAATAGTATTGTAAAATTAATGATTTTTATTGTGTTTGTGGTGTACAAACATCATTTATATTATTATGTTTTTTACAATTTATATGATTAACTGATTACATGTATATTTTGTTACTGTGAATTTATCATCATTATTTATGCTGAATTTTTTGCTCGTTCTCACTCAGTTGTTTATTAATAGTTTAGCTTTTAAAATTAATTCCGAGTCCCCCCCATCCATCATCAGTGAGACAAGCTCTTGTAATGTGTGGAGAGAAGATAGAGAGAGCCATTCACCTACTGACCACTGGAGAACTGATTGATGAAGAGGAGGAGGAGGAGGAAGGGACTGGAGGAAGAGGTGGTCAAGGAAAAGGAAGTATGTATTATGATTATTATTTAATTATGGTATGTGGATTCTTGTTTTTATAGTTCTTTTAGGAGACAGGATTCACAAGGAGCTAGAGCTACCGTGTCACTCCATCACAGTATTGAGGTATGGCATCTAGTCTCTAGATGTATGTAATACCATATAGTTTCGTGGGAAAAAACTATTGTGGTTTGGTGGCTCCGAGTCTATTTGTGGTTTTTATTTTCGTGGATCATCAGTGAAGCTTCCATGCCTCTCATTAACCTGCAAATATCTTGTGGTTTTTAATTTCATGGTGTCATTCCAAACCACAAAAGTTTTTGGCCACAAAACTTTCCAGCTATACGGTAGCAAGAGTATTCTTGACGGTAGCAATTATGCAACTATACATATTTTAATGATGTACAAGTACGTCTATCTTCGTTAAATACCAAACTTTAAGTTAATACTTAATTAAATAATGACCACAAGGTTTATTAGCTAAATTTAATACTAGAAAACTAATTTTTGTCCAAGACTAGGTAGAAAGAAAGTCACAGACTATTTTAACTTCTTTGCCAGTCACACGATAGCAAGCTTTTGCTTGTATCTCTGTACCACTTACATCTATTGTGACATCAACTATTTGCTGTATAAGTGGCATGTTGTCTGGATTAGGAATATTGATGACTAGTTCACCAATAGTAGGGAGAAATACTTCCTTCTTCTCATCTGTGTAATACTGAATCCCAAAGTCAGGTGTTGAGTAGATTCTAATTCTCATTCTAGTATCACCTAAATATCTTGGAAAAAAGGTTTCAGTAACTACCTCATCAGCTTTAGCTAATTCTCCTTTCTCTAGAAAAATGCTGAATATGTAATCACATTTGTATTCTTTTTGGTCTTCATTATAATACTTATAAGCCTCATTGTGCTTTTCAGGATTAAATGTATCAGAAACTCCTATTCCATAAGTAGCATCAGCTCGTCTTGCTTTGAATTTTTCAGGATTTTTACGCCACATAGCAGCTCCAGTAGCAACAGCTAAGTGAGGAGTAGGAGGTATCAATACAGAGCATGTGTCAGTGTGACCTTTAGACTGATAGTAACTTTCTAGAGCAGCACTGACCTTTTCATGAACGTACTTGCACCCTCCAAAAGCACCAACCAGGTAAAATGTACTGGGGCAGTTGTTGATTTTATCAACAGCTGCCACTGTACAATCAATAATGCCTTGGATAGCAGGACCAAACAGCTTAGACTCTACAACACTTTCATCAATGTAAAGTGTGTCATTTTCATCTGGATTGTAATCTGTGCCACTCATTTTTTCTACTCCTTCAATAAGAGCTTCTTCATAAAACCGTAAAAAGATTCTTGGAAGCTCTACTGCAATTTCTTCTATTTTTCCTTGACCAAAAAGCACCTTTTGCTTTTCAAATTCAGTATACACAATTTTATTTAGTGTAGCATGATTTTTAGTACAATCTCCTGAAGCAATAAATTTTTCAAAGCCGGGGTCACTGACTATTTCTTGAAGTAGTTTAGAAAACTCTTCATTGACCTGTGTACCACCCCATGCATTACCAATAGGTACATTCTGGACTACAATACCTCCATCTACTTCAACGTGAGCAGTGATATCTATTGTACCTCCTCCAGCATCAATCACCATATACTCTGTAGGATGACTGATAGCTGCTGCTGATGGTTGGCGTTTGATCTGCTCTGCTATCATTTTCTGACTATAAAGAGCTGCTACCTCAGGCTCTAATGCTAGTGATAGCTTATCAGGATTAACTTCATCTGGTACTGGTAAAGGACTACTTGAGATAGGAGTAAACTCACTGATTCTTTTAGACTCTGTTAATAGACCAGCCTATAACACGGCAAAAATTATACAATGGAACAATGCAGATTTTCATTACTTACCATATAAGCAGCTTCTCTCATCATTCCTTTTCCTCGTGCATCCCATATAGCAGGTACAGTAATGACCCAATCAAAATCTGTTGTCTTCAATGGTATAGCACTGCGAGAGAGATGGTCTATCAACTGGTCCTTCAAGTACTGCAGTATGAAGGCAATGACTTCAATCAGATAAAACTTCTCACCAGAAAATGACTCAACTAGTGTCTGCCTGTCAACATTCTATAGGAATGAAAATTGCTGTATATAGTTTATATGCATTTTAAATGTGGACTTACTTCTTCTCTTTTTAATATCATTTTAATTCTTTCAAAATATATATTCTCTTGATCATAGCTTTCAGCTTTTTTCATTGTTGTAAACTGAGATCTAGCTGTATTCCCAAAAGCTTTCACTGATATTGCTTTTTCTTTCCTCTTGAAGAGGACAGCATTGGTATCCCTTGCAGCTTTCTCTTGAGCATCAAGAATGAATATATTGACGTTATCATCTCCTTTGGTAGTGTAGGCCAGTGAAACTGATGTAGTACCAAAGTCAATAGCAGCAATGTTTCCTCCAGTAACTCGATAGTTAGTATTTTTACGAGGAACCTTTTTAGCTCTATAAAGTGGAGGCTTGTAGTCTGGTGGACGTAATTGCTTTTGAATTAATGGAAAGGTTTGAGAACCAATAGCAAGGACTTCATCAGCAGCTAATGCCATTTTAGATCAACTCCACTTTTGTTGGTTAAAGACAGCCTCTGTATGTGCTGATATAACAGATTGTTAATGATTCTTTGTCCTTAGAATTGTTATGATTGCTGGTATAGTGTAGTTCCTGGAATTGTATAATGTTATTCATTAGAGTTAGGAGTTATATAGTGGCTCTGTTCACTCTGGTTTTTGGTTTGCATAGTGGTTCAGCTACACACAGCTACTACCACAACTACAACTTGCAGTTCCTGGATTTGTTATGATACATGTACAAAGGTTATGCATTTAACACATGATGATAAGTATAGGTATCAATTATATTTTTAATTTATCTTTTAAAAAATTATTTAAGTTTATGTAGTACACTTTTTCAATAACATAATTTCTTTTAACCATTATAGGATGTTAAAATACGACCAAGTCTTGAAAATGGATTCCTTTGTCAGGTAAATTAACCGCTAGATAACCTATAAAATAAAATAATAGCTTTTACACTTTTAGTAGTAGCATCAATATGTAAACTCGTGCTATTTTCCTTTAGATAATGAAGCACACATTGAACAGGATCCCATCATTGAATGAGTTTTGTGTTATCTGTGATGAGAGACACGTACTGGAGACAGGACTACTAAGAGTAATCATATACCGTACAAGATGATTTATTGGCGGGAGTAATATTTGGTGAATTTGCCTTTGAAAAGATTTGGCAGATTTTATATTGGCAATTTTGTGCCATGTGCCATTGAGCATGCTCACATTGAAACAAAATGGCAGATTTCATATTAGCGATTTCTTTATAGAACCGTCAATTGCCAATATTTATTCCACACCAATAAATCATCTTGTACAATAATGAATAATGACACACTTATATTTACTTATTGAACTTTAAATTATTTCATCTCTTATCTATTACTCTCTTTATTCCACTATACATTCTTCTTTTCTCTCTTTCCTTTCTTTCTTTATTCTCTATAGCCGTGTGTATGTACAAGAGAGTTGTGTGTCTTTGCTTTCCAAACACTAGGAGTAATGGCTGATGCTGCTGAATCAGTAGCAACTGATGCCAGTGTAAGAACTAACATACAATAACACATTAACAAACACTATTCACCATATGTACATATACACTATGAAAATGAGCTATTCAACAAACTAATACACTTTATAGATCTGTATATTAAATAAGTATATTATGCATGTACATTTATATTATTTTTCTTTGTTTTAGGTTGTTGACCTGTTGATTGCAATGTGTAATGCTGCTACCAACAGCAGTAGAGCCTCACTCATTCTTGATCCATTCCCATCTATTGTTGATCCATCCAATCCACACAGACTAGCTATGGATCCATCTGTAAGGCCTTTACCACATTACCTTAATTATCTCTCTCCTTTTATTTGTCTCTTTCTTCCTCAGATTAAAGATTTCAATCAAGCAAAGATAGTGATGACAGCC